AAGCAGGTCTGAGGGAGGAAGTGAAGAAAAACATTAAGGTGGGAAGGAAGGAGAGGGAGAGGGAGGGCAGGGGTAAAGATAAAGGAAAGAAGGAATGTGGGGAGGGAGGGAGGGTAGAAGAAAGATGGGAAGAAGGATAATGGAACAGAAGTAGGAAATAAGGAGGAAAAAAAGTTTATAAATGATGAGTCAGTAAGAAAAAGTGTTACATAAAGGAGAGAGAAAAATTTTGTGAGAGGGAGAAGCCAACAAGGAAGTCAAATACAATTGTGTGTGAAGGGGATAAGATTAAAAAAAAAAAAAAAGTTAGTAGGGGTGACCAGGCCGGCAGGGGAGGGAAGTTAGGGGTGACTAGGTTGGCCAGGGAGGGCAGTTAGGGGGATCAGGCTAGCAGGCAGAGTGGTTAGGAAAGGCAGGCAGGTGAGCAGTTAGGAGCCAGAGGTCCCGGATTGTGAGAGGGATGTCCAACTTCCAGTTTAGGCCCAATCCCTGGACATCCCCTGAGGGCTCCCAGATTGGAGAGGGTACAGGTTGGGCTGAGGGACCACCCCCCCATGCACAAATTTCATGCACCAGGCCTCTAGTAAATAATAAAGTAATAATTTTGAGCTACTTTTACCAGATGTAATTAACGATGTTCTATTTGGTTCATAAAAAAAAATGTTTGGAAGTTTTGTTGCATTTTCCATGCTCTGGAATGACTTGTGTGACAAAATTGATATGTTTTGCAAGAGTATAGAGAATAAGGTAATGCTCCAAATACTCATTTCTGAGTTTCAGCCATATCAACACATGGCCAATCTGTATCACCTATGTCCAACCTCAGCCTCCAGATTATTTTGAGACAATCATCTATTACAAGCATGTCAAACTCATGGCCTGCAGACCACATGTGACCCATAACGAATATTATTGTGGCTCAGCCAATATAATGGTATGTAAGAAATCTATACTAATAAAAGAGAAACATGCAAATTGGTGTCACTCCGCTATGCCCACCAGCCAATCAGGATGAGTATGCAAATTAACCCAACAAAGATAGTGGTTAATTTGCATATGCAGGTGCCAAGCGAAGACTGAAGGCTCCAGCCGGGGTGAAGACTGAAGACTGAAGACTGAAGATGCTTGGCTTCTCTGCTGCGGCCGGACCAAAGCCTGGGTCCCAGCTGCCGGAGGAAAACCAATGCCGGCAGCCAGGGGAAGGAAGGCCTATTGCGCGAATCTTTGTGCAATGTACTTCAATGTTTTAATAAAAATTTTGTGACTTAATTTTTACAATATCCTGTTATACATAATTATTAATAAAACTACAACATTTGCTAGTGACTGATTACTATATTCATGTTGCATTCATTTCCCTTATGCAGAGGTGCACCATTTCTCTACGCTAATACTAGCAGTGAATATTTTAGCAGGCGATTGCCTCATCATAAGTCTTCTACTGACTGGTTTGGTGGGCACAACAGGAAATATTTTGCTTTCAGAGAACAAGAAAAATGGGTTTATTTGCGTTATGCTTATTAATTTGTGCAGTTATTCAGTGTCTGATAAATTAATGTTCAAGAAAAATATTTTTATTAAAATGTTTTATTATTTTATGTTAATGATTACTTATTTCAGCCCTTTGTATTGGGCATATCTCTATGGAAATAAACCTACATTTCTATGAAAATTGAAGCTTTTTGGTTTTGTGTGGCCCACATAAACTTAAACCTTGTTTATTTGACCCATGTTAGCCTTTGAGTTTGACATGCTTGATCTATAACAATAGTTATCCTATTGTGTACCTTTAAAGGGTAAAGCGTTTAATTACACACATAGGGACACTGTTTGGCAGGATTCCAAGATGGCCTACCAGATTTCTGACACCCTGTATACACACATCTTCCACCAGTCAATTAATTAACCACTCATCTAGGTGCTGCTATGAGGGGTTTTGCAAATGTAATTCAGGTCACAAATCAGTTGTTCTGCAAATAGAGAGATTATCCCCCATAGGTCAAGCCTAATCAGGTGAATCCTTAAATGGGGTGGGCATTTCCTAGTGAGAGAAATTCAAAGAGTGAGAGGGAGGTGCTCCTTTGCTGGCTTTGAAGATGGAAGGAGCCACATAGCATACCAAGGAGTTAATAGCAACTTGAGAATGACCCCTAGCCAACAGCTAGCAAGAAAATAGGCACCTCAGTCTTTCAGTTTCTGGTAACTGCATTCTGTTACCTGCTTTCTGCATGGCATTGGAAGGAGCTCCTGAGCTCCATGTGAGAATACAGCTACCTGATACATTGTTTGCAGCTTTGAGATTTCTAACCCAGGAGCCCAGCTACTACCTACAGAACTGTGAGATAGATACTAAGTGTCTGTTGTTCAAAGCTGTTCAATTTGTGGTAGTTTGTTATAAATTAAACAAATATACACACTGAAATGTTTTTTTAATTTTTATTGTTGAAATTATTACACAAGTCTTCCTTTCCCCCCATTAACCTCTTCTAGCCCGCTCCCATCCCCCGCCCCAGGACCTCCTCACCACTCTACTGTCTGTGTCCACAGGCTATACAAATATGCATATAAATTCATTGGTTGATCTCTTCCCACCCACCCTCCCCTGCCTAACCTCTTAGATTCAACATTATATTCATGCTTCTACATCTCTGGGACTATTTTTGTTTCTCAGTTTATTTGGTTCATTAGATTTCACATATGCGTGAGATCATGTGATACTTATGTTTCTTGGACTGGCTTATTTTGCTTAGCATAATGCACTCCAGGTCCATCCATGCTGTGTAAATGTTTTTATTCAGACTTTCCTTCCTGTAATTAATCTATTAGGATATACTCTCTTGGCTACTTTTACTGATCCAATACTATCATTAACTATTAAAGTTTATTCTGTACATTACATCCCTGGGCCTTATTTTATAGCTGAATTTGTACCTTTTGACCACCTTCACCCATTATGCCTACCTTCCACTCCTTGTTTCTGGTAAACACCAGTCTGTTCTGTGTATCTATGTGTTCATTTCCATGTTTTTTTTTTCCTCTTAAAGATTACACATGTAAGCGATACCATACAGCATTTGTTCTTCTGTGTTGAAAACTTTCTGTGGAAAGAACACTGCTTGAAAACGACCACTTATTTAACTTAGCATAATGCCCTCCAGTTCTGCACATGCTGTTGCAAGTGGCAGGATTTCTTTCTTTATTACGGCTGAATGATAGATACTTTTCTATGTGTGTATGAGTGCATGTGTATCACTTTTCCTTTATCCATTCACTGATCAATGTGCAGTTAGGTTGTTTCCATGTCCTGGCAACTGTAAATAATGTTGCAATGAACATGGGGTAGAGTTATCACTTCACTTATATTCTGAATCTAAATAAACTTTCTTTTTTTTAACAATACTACTTGAAAATTACCTAAGAAATAAGTCAACAAAGTATTTTTGCACATCAAGAATAATGGTCAGCAAGCATTTCCAACCACAATGTGGAGATTTCAACTCAGACCTCAAAGAAGCTGAGAAAAGCTACTGGATGTGTCCCCAGATTTCCCATTGACCTCCCAGTGGATCTAACTTCTGCTTAACAATGGAAACTAAGTAATACGTCAGGGGTCCTCAAACTACAGCCCACGGGCCACATGCAAATACAAATATTGTATTTGTTCCCATTTTGTTTTTTTACTTCAAAATAAGATATGTGCAGTTCTCACAGGAATTTTTTCATAGTTTTTTTTTTAAACTATAGTCCGGCCCTCCAACGGTCTGAGGGACAGTGAACTGGCCCCCTGTTTAAAAAGTTTGAGGACGCCTGTAATAATCTATCTCCACCCACTATTTACACTCCTTTTCACTTGTTCTTTAAGAAGTGGAGAATATATCACCCTCTTTTATATTGATAGCTTCTCCTACAATGTATAATTGCATGGGCAGGTACAGGGTCTTCTTTGCCTAAACATTCCCCATGTGAGCAGGAAGACTTCCAAAGAGCTGATGATCAATTAATAATTGTGTAAAATAAAAGCTATGAATTAAGAGGACTTATAGTCTCAAAAATTCTTGAATAACATCAGGAAATCATGGTATATATCTTACAAATTTACCAAACAAAAAGACGATAGATGGACACTTAGTTTGCTTTCATGTCTTGGCTGTAACAGATAATGCTGGGTACAGGATAGGTAATATAGGCAGTAACATTTTAATATCTATGTATGGTTCAGATGTGTACTAGATTTATGGTGAGGACATTGTATTTTTTTTAATCCTCACTAGAGCATATTTTTTCCATTGAATTTTTTATAGTGGATTTTTTTAGAGACAGTGGAATTTTTTAAGGGGGGCACAGAGAGAGAGAGAGAGAGAAAGAGAGAGAGACACTGATCCCTTGCCTCCAGTTGACTCTCTGACAGGGCCGGGAATTGAACCTGCAACTGAGGTACAGGCCCTTGACCAGAATCAAATCCTTGATTCTTCAATCTGAGGGTCAGTGCTCTAACCACTGAAACAAACCGGCTAGGGCAACACTTTTAATTCATATAAATGTCTAATCACTCTGTTGCAAACCTGAAACTACTATAACATTGTATTTCAACTGTTAAGTGAAAAAAATTAAAACAGAAGTGGACAATTTTTATTTTATCTATCTATCCATCTATGTATCTATCCATCTGCTGTTCCCAACTACTTTAGTGTAAAGTTCTTTCACATCCCAAAATATATTCCTATCCTAATCTATATTATCTTGTCCTAGATCACAAAAGTGATTGAAGGATTTCCAATTTCTATTTCAAAAACAACTTTTACCCCTAACTTGATGAACAGCAATAAATGTGAGATCCATTTCATTCACAAACTTATATCCTAAATCTAAAGAAACATTCTAAAAGAACATCACTTGAAAATGCAAGAAAAATACACAAATATAACTCATCAAGATATTTTGCATATAGGAAACTGCTTAACAGGCCTTTACAGCCCCAAAGTGAAGACTCCACCTCAATGTCACTCAGGTTGAGGGTAGCAGCTAGATGTGGCCTCGAGAGAAGTGGCAGCCTTGGGTGCAGCTTCGGCTCTGGCTCTCTCTTCCGCATCTTTCAAAGCTTCTTCATAATGCAGCGCAAAGGTAGTGGGGACAGTATCATTGAGCTCAGCCCAAAACTCGAGGACTTTCATCTTGCTGGTCTCAGCGTGGGCTCTTGGACCCCACAGGAACTCATAGCGTGGAGGATCACTGTTGGGCACCGGCTGGTACACCAGGTATTTTTCCTGCACCAAAACTTGGTTGATAAGCTTCCTGGGCTCCCCGAATATTAAGTGACTCTTTCCATCAAAGATACCCAAAGTATTCAGGAATACCCAGGTGTCTGCCTCAGAGACACGGTTGCCATTCAACAAGATAAAACCCAGAACAGGCATCAGAAGCCCTTTGTTAGGAAATCTGAAGCCGCTGCTCAGACTCTTATCTTGACTGATGACAAGGGTGTAGGTATTACCATTGGGCTCAACTTCTTTCAATTCCAAGCCAAAGAACATATCCATGCGATCAGAGGCTGTCTTGAGGATCTCAGGGAAGTCCTTCCTGAACCACTTGTGGATGATCTTCAGCATATCTCTCTTTTTAATGGGCTGGTTTCTTTTATATTGATACAGCAGGTACTCTACCAACATAGTCGCCTTCTTACTTAGTAGACGTTTGCCAGAACTCTCAGCAGACGTTGAGGCCTGGGGGGATTTTTTACTTTGCTGAACTTGGCCTTTGGCTTTTACAGCAGATGTTTCACCTGAAGCTCCTGCAGCTGCACTGGTGGTGGCTAGGACACCCTGAGGTGCCTGGAGAGTGCCAGCACCAGTGGAGGTTGAGGGACCTTCCCCCAAAATGGAAGAGGAGGAGCAAGCAGCCTCTTCTTCCTCTCCTGCAGGGGCCTGAGCACTCTTATCACCTTGTTTCTCAGCTCTGTTTTGGCGGCGTTTCTCCTTAGCACGGAGCTTGCTCTTATGACCACGAGGCATGATGGCTGTTGTTCAGGACAGCAGACAGTAGTGAGCCAATGGACAGCTGCTCTGGGCACCTGAGAGAATGGAGACAGAGTTGCTGTGAGCACCTTCAACAGGCAGATTCCACCTGGGGTTTGTTGAAGGTTGCCTATACAGGCTTCCTTTAAGGCACTCTTTTACCAGCCCCCAAGGCTCTTGTTCTCCTGATCATTCTGTCCCCTATGAGCCCCACAGAGAAACCAGAGAAACTTTAGAGTGAGTAGCCCACTACATGTTAACAGCCCTGCCTTGAGTTTACTCAGGTGACAATGGGTGATGTCAGTGTGGCTCCCTTTGTTCTGGGATGTGGGGTCCTCTCAGTTCATCTTCAGTGTTATCATTTCAACTCTGAATAGAAGCTGGGCACCCTTCCCTCTGCTACTCTGACATTGATATTTTAATTTTCCCTGGGACCTAAGAAAAGGAACTGGAGGGGAGCCTCAGTCCACCTCCCTAACAGGGGTCATCTCGTGCTGAGAGCTTAGTGGGGGGTGCTTTGTGTACTGAGTTCGTTTTTTCCCCCAGTTGTCAGTCAAGTTCCTCACCTTGGCTACTTATAGGGGCTGGCACCATCCCCTTTGGCTGACTGGTGGCTAAGGATATCACCTCCCTTAGACCTGATATAAAGAAGTGAGGAGGGATGTTCAACATGACAGTCCTTCCTTGAGATTTCCTGAGCTGACATTACAGGGTTGGCATAGACCCTTTGATGTCACTTTTATTCAGGGTTGGTTGGTTCCTTGAGTTATGTCTCAGGTTCCTCAATAGGACTCCTGTTGGAAAACACCTCACAGTAATAGCCAAGTTACCTGAGCTCTAAAGCATAAACGAAGTTGACCTTGTCTAATTGAAAGTGGTCTCCCAAAAGTAGGGGCTATTTCAAGCAGTTTGGGATCTTATTGTAGGTTGTTCTACACAGGATTTCAATCCAAGGTCTAAATTCAACTCATGCTGAGGTCATCATTTCTCTATCTGCTTGCCTGGATGGCTCCCTTCAGATCAATGTACTCACTTCCCTGTAACCCCTGAGTGAGGACTCCTGCTTGACATTTATACTTGAGGTGTGCCAGTGTGAAAATAGGGAGCATTCTTTTTGTTTCTTTGTTTTGTTAATCCTCACTGGAGGGTGGATTTTCCATTGAATTTTTTAGAGAGAGGGAGTGAAATAGAGTGGGAGAGAAACATTGATGTGAGAACAACAGATCAATTGGTTGCCTCCTCAAGGGCCCCAATTGGGTGGGGGTCCACCTTCAACCCAGAAACCTGCCCATGACTGAAGACCGACTCCAGGAGCCTTTGGTGCAGGCCGACCATCTAACGCGGAGGCACACTGACTAAGGCAGGGAGGATTCCTTGTGGCCCCACTGGCACACGGTGGCACATGCCCACAGTCCTCAACGGTCTGTCCCTGAAACCTGGCACAACACGAATTTAACACGAAATCCTCCCTCCGCTGCCCTGCGGTTGCCCCCTTTGACCGGATCTGTCTCCTCCCCGAGATGGCCTGGGAGGAAGCGAGTGCAACTCATCATGGCGATGAGCCCTAGCCTCCCAGGGGTGAACACTGGGCTGGGACTGTATTTGGCCCCCTCCTTTGTGGGAGGAGTCCCACAGCCTCCCTCAGTGTAACAGCCCTGGACCCTGGTAGAGACCGGGCCCTCCCTCTTTGTACCCTCCTCCATTACCCCAAGGCCCTGGCCTCTCTGAGACACCACCTGAGGAGTAAGGGTCACCGCACGCGGCCTGCCCGCTCTGCTCCCGGCAGCCTTTGCTGAGTTTGGCGGGGTGACCGCCAGAGAGGAGGCTGGGTCGCTCTGTATCTATTTCCTTGGCGGGGCGGTCCCTAGAGCTGAGTACAGGGGCTGCTGCCCTGCGCGGCCCTTTCACCCAGACAGGGCTGCTCTGAAGCACCCGGCCTCCATCTTGAATCCCTTTGGGGCCCAGGGGTCCTCGGTCAGTAGGGTCGGGCCTACTCCCTCCCAAGGCCTTCCCCCCAACACTTTCCAGGCCGCAGTCTCAGGGCTGTGCTGGCGCCTGTCGGGGCTCACTGCAGGGCAGGCGTGGGAGGGCTCATTTTCGTTAGCTGGGGGGGGGGGGGGGGGAGGGTGTGGCTTCCGTGGTTCCCACCTTGACGCCAGGCCAGTCCTTCGAAACCGTCCTCAGCTAACCTCTAGGCAGGAGTAATGGCTGGAAGGTCCTCAACGCCCAAGTAGAAGTTGGTGGGTCCTTTCCCGCGGGGCTGTCCAGGGCGCGCCTGATGCCGGATGCCTGAAGGATTAGGGTCCATGGGCCCCAGGTCCTCACTTAGGCTTCACACTTTCGTGTCTGCAGAGCTTGGACTCCTCCCTCTAGAGAGGGGAGTGGACCCGGTCCCCACAAAGTCCTCCCTCCCCTGAGACCCAGGGAGTCAGGCAGTGAGAGTGCCCTGCCTCTGAAGTGGGCCCTGGGCCTCTCAGGCCGGAAACAGGGGTTGGGTCACTCCTGGACCCTACTGTGTAAGAATTTTGCTCCCTAGGTCTTCACTCATGTTCCTAACCTGGGGTTCCTCTTTTTAGTGCCCCAGGTCTTTCCTTATTTAAACAAAGCCTCATGTTTGCGAGTTCCTGGAGGGGAAATTTGCTATGTGACACACATCTAGTCCTATTTCTCTTCCACATAACGTAAGATTGACAGCAAGACCAGTTTCCTGTGAGGCCCCATGTTTAGGGAGCGTTTCTATGATCATCACTCAGGGGTCTCATCATAACTTCAATTAAGGCCATAACCACTTTTTCTACAGAACTGGGGCTGCATCCTTCAAAGTGAGGACCTTCCCTCCCTGTGGTTTGACAAGTAAAAATAATGCTATGTCTTCTACAGTTCCCCATGGCTAAGAATAAAATGGGGCTCTATTTGACTCCCTCTGCTAGCGGGGGTTCCACCATAACATTTAGGGTCTTTATCAAAGCTTTTGTGAAGGCCTAGGTTTTCTCTCTCTTCATAGCTGGGAATTTCTCCATTAGTAGATCACTTCAGGAAGATTAAAAAGGTTCTGCCAGAGCTCTTTCCTGATCATCCCAAGGCCAACAGCATTGGGGGATTTGTGGGGTTACTCTGCTTGGCCTGGGTGGTTCTTTAATTCTTATTGAGTCCACACTTTGACACCTGACCATTCTTTGGACTCCGCTACCCCGAGGCTGCTCCCATCAAATCAAGGTACTCACCTTTTGGAGTCCTCCAAAGTTCCACATCCTGCTGAGACTTTTCCAGTCCTCCACGGATTGATGGTCTGAGCCAGACTTATGGAACCCCACTGTTTTGTTTGCGTCCTTTCTTCATTCCTCATTCAGGGTTCTCACTTTCCTATCTATCTATCTATCTATCTATCTATCTATCTATCTATCTATCTATCATCTATCTATCTATCTATCGTCTATCTATGGAGTTTGTCTTTTTTACACCAAGGCTCTTAAGTACTTGAAAGTCCTAAAGAATAATGGTGGACATGCTCAGCTTGACAGCTCTGCGTGGCCCCTTTCATGCATAAAGGGGAGGGGGTGGAAGAATGTCTGTGTGTTACCCCAATATTCTGGGCTATTTGTCTATCCAACCCTCTAATACTGGGGTCCTCCTCTTGGCTCCTGCCTCTTGGGATAAAGGCTTCCTGGAAAATGCCACATCCCTGCAAACCCTGAACAGTTTCCCATCTGAAAATCTTGGTTTCTGCTTTAAGAGTGATGTGAGATGGAGCAGCTGAAGCCCAACTCAGGAGTTCCAGGACAGGACAGTCAGGCAAAAAATATGCTGATATTTTCTTTCTCTTCATCAGTCAGACTTAGATTCTTATGTAAAGTCTGTCCTGCAATTCTACAGGGAAGGGAAAGTCTATGGTAATTTTATGAGATTCTGATCTTTTTAGGTTATCTAACATTGCATATGTACATGATCATGCTGTCACCAGCTATTAGCTTTCTATTCAGGCCTCTCATTTAGTTTGGTATTCATATTGCTCTGGGAATGTAGTCCAACTCAGTAGTATGACCATAGATTCTTATTTTTATGACCTGAGATCCATTATTAAGAAGAAAAAAGAAAATTGAATTCAGAAGCACAAGGTGGGCCTCATGCTGGGATAACTGGAATAGTGTGAGCTCTAAACTAATTCAGACCAGGGGTCGAGTTTCAACCTTGTCCCTTAACAGCTGTGTGAATTTGGGCACATTTCTGGTTTTATTTTTTATCCTCACCCGAGGATATTTTTTTCCATTAATTTTTAGAGAGAGTGGAAGGGAGAGGGAGAGACAGAGATATACACCAATGTGATGGAGACACATCGATTGGTTGCTTCCCGCATGCCCTCGACCAGGGCCGGGAGCCTGCAATTGAGGTATGTGGACACATTTCTAAATGTTGTGAGCTTCAGGCTCTGCATCTGTGAAGTGGGTTTGTTTGATGAGCTCTTGTTGCACTAGTAGAATGTGGTTAATATGTGCTATATGCCTGGCACAGTGCCTGGCCTTTACTGAGACTGCAACATGGCATTTATTACAATGATTCATTTGAATCCCAATGATGCCACCCACCCTGCTGGGATTGTTTGTATGTTTTAATACAGCAGAAATCAGCAAATATGTAGCATTCTATAACTAAGAAAATCCAATCAGCTAAAATGGTGATTACTCAGAAAAACTAAGTAATATTTTCCTATTACATGATTAGTGATTCAATATGGATATGAGGTATACTTACCCGGACAGATGCAATTCAAAGCTCCTAGAGTGTGTGTCAAGAATCTACAACTTCCCTCCCTCCCCAGCATCCTTTCATTTAAACCACCATTATCTACATTAATGTAACCAGCACCAAAACCCTAGGACTTACTTATGTACATGATAATTTAATTTGAATGCCCTTTTGATGGAGCAGACTTTGACCCTCCGAGCTTAGTGCAAAGAGTGCCCAGTGGCCTCTTAACTTCTCACCTCAAAAGAGACTCA